TTTCAAAACTGCCGTTTAGGAACAGGCATAATTAAAACTGATTTAACTGATCACTTTCCAATATTCTTAATTACTGATAACATAACCCTAAATAATGTCCCTTCAAACACTAAAATCTTAACACGACAGATCAATGAAAGCTCCTTATTGTATTTTCGAACTCTTTTAACAAAAAATATTGATTTGAATGTTATTTTACAATCCCATGAAGTCACTACTGCATATGAGCTGTTTTTAGCGCAGTTCTGTAAACAGTATGACATAGTATTTCCTGTTAAAAAAATTGTTATAAAATCCAAGTCTCTTTTAAACCCCTGGACGACCAAGGAATTAATAAAATCATAAAAAAAAAAAAAAAAACTTTATGATAAATATTTAAGACATAAAACATATAAAAATAAAATAAACTACAAAAACTATAAAAACTTATTTGAAAAAAACAAAAAACACTCAAAAAAAATTTATTATACAAAGTTGTTGAAAAAAACTAACGGCGACACTAAAAAACGTGCAATATAATTAAACAAATAATTGGTAAAAATAAATGTGAAAAAAATAATCTCCCACAAAAGCTTTTAATTGATATGGAAATGATTTACGATTAAAAAAAAATAGCTAAAGAACTCAACTCATTTTTTTTTTAAGTAGGGCCGAGATTGGCGAGTAAAATTCCGTCAAGTACCACAAAGTTTGAATCTTACATTAAATCATGTAATTCTATTATGGAAGAATCTAATTTAAATCTAAGCGAAATAAGGAATGCTTTCAACAGTCTTAAAAGTAATAAAAGTGCGGGCATTGACAAAATTAGTGTGAATGTTGTTAAGTCAGTCTTCGATATCATTGAACCGTCATTATTTCATACTTTTGATCTTTCATTAAAGCTAGGTGTTGTGCCGAAAAAACTTAAAATTGCCATAATCACTCCCATTTTTAAATCTGGTAACGAAACTAATATTAACAACTACAGACCTATTTCCGTTTTACCCTGCTTCTCAAAATTATTGGAACGAATTATGTACAACAGACTTTACAACTATTTGATGTTAAACAGTTTGCTGTACTGTAAACAATTTGGACTTCAAAAAAATAATTCAACAAACCATGCTATAATCGAACTAGTTAATCATGTATCGGATGCATTCAATAACGACTATTTTATGGAAACCACATATAAAATATATAGAAATTAAAATATCAAGAAATATTTATATATTATATAAAACTAAATCATATCTTAACACCTCTTCTCTAAAAAAAATATAATTTTTATTTATTCATAGTTTTATCTCTTACTCCAATATTGTATGGGGTAGTACTAACTATGTAAGTTGAAAAAACTTCATAGTAAGCATGGAGGATTATATTTGGTGCCCACAGAACTTTTCAATGTGAACCTCTTTTAAGGAAGCTCGGTGCCCTAAGTGTCTATAAACTTAATATACACCAAGTTCTACAATTCATGTTTAAAACTAAACATGAAATCTCTCCTACTGTATTTCAGTCTTACTTTAGTGAAATCTCGCACAAGTATCCTACTAAATTTTCAATTAATAACTTTATTGTTCCAAAAACTAATTCAAAACTAAATTCTTACAAAATCCAATACCGCGGACCGTTTCTATGAAAACATTTTTCAAAATTTATCACAAAAAATAATAATATTCAACACATCTCTTTGGAAAAATTAGGAAAAGAATCTAAGAATCTCTTATTACAAAAAGACTTTGATTTAAGATATCTCTTAAAAATAATACGCAAATAATATAAACTATCTAAAAAAATAGTTATTGACACTACTTCTCTTTTGTTGCAATTTTAATCTAATTTAATTTTTTGTTGAAAAATTTTAATACTTTTAAATTATTGTTAATCTTTGATATAATGCGTTATATTTCAACACTTATATTTATATTATGTTATTAGTTATATTCTAACTAACGTATTTAAAATTCTTGTTATGTACTTAGCTACTCTTCATTTTTTATATTACCTGGCGATTTTTTAGTGTAAATTTTATGATGGGGCTTGATGATAAGACATTTTATGTCTTCTGCTTGCTCCAGTTCTCTTATTAACACGATTTATTTCATTGTAAATTTTAATATATGACAAAACTCTTTGCTTAAAAAAAAAAAAAAAAAAAAAGTTAATAGATGCTTTTACTTTTTGATAGATTTTTTTTATTTGCTGCTTGAAACTTTCTCGAATAAAAAAATTTATGTTTTTTCAATCATATATGAAAAGTACTTATGTATCAATGTTTATGTTAACCTCACTTTCTAGACTCCATATTTTTGACTTTTTATTTGTTTTAGTTTGTATCATGTGCAAAGTTTCTTCACACTTTACATTTACGGAATTTATCTCGGGGTTTGGAAATAAGACATACTAAGTCTTTTTCTTGCCCCTGCTATCGGTTTATATTGTTAATATATAACGGAATGCATATATTCGCATCTCTCAGCGTTCAAAAATTATGAACATATAAAGTTTAAACCCCCCTCAAGTTGAGGGGGTTGCAAATTTTATATGGTCAACGCTGATAGATAATACTATAAAACTTAAATCTTATCGATAAATATAAGTCTAGTTCAAAATAGTACAAAAACTATTTCATTAACTTCTTGCTCTCACGTTTGTGACAGTGTCGGCCAAATTTTTAGGTTTTTTTTGTTCCCAAGCTCCAATCATCGCAATTTTCTGCAAAACATTTTTATTTTACATAAGTATAAACTTATAAATGTTTGGGGTTTGCTCCATGTCTGAAAGTTAGCTATCTCAAAGACCAAAAAATGCTGGCGCCCCCACTGTAGGCGGACAGATTAATTTTTAAACTAGAGGCAATTCCACAGTGCAAGATTTGCATCTTATTTGATATAAAAATGGAACAAATATCTGAAAAATTTATCATGTCCGATGAGGAGAATATTATGATCCACCACGTGGATAAATTTATCGGTCTTTTTTTTATTCAATACAATCCTTTGAGGATTTTGGTATCGAATCTAGTCGATGACTTCAAATTTTTTTTGCAACTAACTAGTGTAAGAAATTAATAAAAATGTGTCAGATTTGATCACAATTTGTTACAAAAATATTTTTTCAACCCCAAGACAAAATTTTCTACCCAAAGATATGACAAAAAAAAAAATTAATAGGAAAGTTGCAATTTCAGACATTAAAATAACCGATTTCTATTTAATTTTATCATGGAGGCAAAACCTTTGATTATGAGGACTTTAAAATGATTAAAAATAGCTACGAAAGAATCCGGGAGACTTGACATTTTCTCAAAATTATGAAATGGCATAAAATTTTGTTAGACAAATTCTAATAGTTTTGGAGATGTTATAAATGGTATGTTTAAGTAAAATATGCAGTTTCAAGGTATAAGATATGAAAACAGTATTGGTTATAAAAATGCTAAAAAAGGCCAAGAATATATCCTAATACCATTTCACTAGTAAAGACATATATTTATGTATATGCATTTATACAAAGTTGGCTGGTCCTTGAATAATAAATGTAGAATGTAAAAGCGTACATCATAGTATTAGGTAATCATTTATCAACCATTACAGGGCCGACGACACCAGGGGGCCCTGATAATGGTTTAACAATTTGGTAAAGGGTGTTGTCCCCCTCCTATTTTTCTAAAGGAATTTTTATTTTTTTTTAAAGAATTTCCCGTGTCATCGGCCATGATTATCAGTTTTTAAATAACCATACAACGTTAAAATATCCTATAAAATATATGTTACGTTTTATCATGGAAGTATAAAACAGATGGAAGTTTATCAAGCCGCAAACATCAAAGCACTTTCAAGTCGTCTCGGGAGTATGCTTGTAACCGACAATTTAAAACAAAACAAGTTTCTGGACACAAAAAAAAAAAAAAAAAATTCACTGAAATGATTTTTATTAAAACATTAAAAAAAGAATTACTCTAAGGATACACTACATAGTTTTAACCATTAGTTATTGTAATTATTCAACAAAAGGTTTATTAAAACTCGGAAATTAAATAGAACCACCTTATTTTAAAAGCATAGTTTGAGCTTTTTTTCTTGTTTCAAATAATAACACGACATTTGATTAAAAGACAACTAAAATAATTTTTAAAAAATCCGAAAAATTGTTTTATTTATTTATTTATTTATTTTTTTTATTTGAGTTTTCATGCTATATTTTTCTATAAAATGTATAGGAACTAATAAAAATAAAATAGCATAGGAACAGCCACAAATAGTCATTAAGACTAATCTAAAGTAGCGTTCGTTATTGACCAACATTTTTGCGTACCGAAGTACTACTCAAGCGCTGAGTTGGCGGTGGCGGGATTTGAACTCGTATCGTTCAAGAGTCCGGGTTTTAACTTTTTCCAATAACGCTCTAACCATCTGAGCTATCCCGCCACTTTGCTCTAACCATCTGAGCTATCCCGCCAATTACTAAAGCATAAAGTTTCATCAGTTGTATACCATAATTCCATTCATTCTTGTAATACTTCATTCATTCAATATGAAGTTTATAAAAAAGTTGTTCGTTGTCGCCATTTTTAATGTTTATACTTGGCGAACCGTTTTTAAATTATTATAAACCTATTTGCGTCAACGAAAAAAGATTTAATGTTTAAGTACAGTCTTGATGTCGTTTTCTTTTTGTTTACAAAACAAAATGTTAAAAGCATATTCCCGAAGCATTTCAATGCAGTTGAACTTCCATCTGCTTTATACTTCCATAGTTTTATTTAAAAAAAACTATGGAAGTATAAAGCAGAAAAAAAAATTATTTCTTTAATAAATCAAAAAAGTTATACATTACATGATTAAAATTTTATTATAAAAATTACTCAAATCGCTATAAAATTGCGGTAAAATTTCTTATACTTAAAATGACAAATAATTGAAAAAAAAAAATTAATAAATAATCATTTATAAAAAATAAAATTAATTTAAAAAATATTTCAAATAAAAAAAATAAAAACTCAACTCAACTTTAAAAAATATATATATATATATTTTCCCTAAATTATATGACGATCTTGTTTAAAAATTAGTTTTTTAAGTTTTGCATGAATATTGCTTCAAATATTGCAGCTGCATTTAGTACACTAACTTCATCAAAATGCTTTCCAACAATCATTAAACCAACTGGCAAATCACCAACAAAACCACAATTAAGTGACAAAGCCGGGTGTCCTGTACCATCGAAGATTGCAGTATTTTTGGTCATGTCTTCACTCTTAATCATTCTTTCTTTTATTGGCGTATCTTTCGATGGAAGCTTACACGGCAAGTTTGTCAGGGTAGGCATTATGATTACATCATTATCCTGAAGTATGTTGTTATAGAGTTGCTGCATGTGGGCTATCAAACTAGAAGCTTTAGCATAGTAGTATGGTCCATACTTTTCTTTGATGTAGTTGGATAAAAGAATGACAGATTTGACATTATGCGATATCTGTGATAAGTGTTGACTATAACCTTCTTTCATTTTTTTAACAAGTGATTCAGATTGCACCCCTAAATCAACATTAAATGACGTAGAATAAATTGAATACAAAACAAAACCATCACACCAAAAAAAAAAAAAAAAGGTATATATAAAAAAAAAAGGTAAAAAAATTAACCGTTTTTAATAATTATTAATACTTATGAAAAGTTTGGGTGTGTATTAAAGCATATAAATATAAACAAAATTAATATTTTTAACTCTAAATCTTTAGAGTTAATATTTTAACACTAAAGATTTAGAGTTAAAAATGTTAAAAGATTATATGAAAGAGGATAAGTTATAATAATTGAAAGATTTTTAAGAAATAATAAATCTGAAAAAAATATGATTCATACAATTAAAAAAAAATAATAACAAATGATAAGTTTAAATAAGTTTTGTTTTGGAATAGCTCAAGAATAAAAAAAATCTAAAACATTTTTATCGCTTCATTTCTTCAGATCTCAGTAATGATTGATTGAATCTTTGATTCACAAAGTCTTCAATAATCATATACTTAGACAGGGCATATACTCATTTATCAACATATTTATTTTTGAATTTATAAAAAATTGAATTTTTGTATGAACTGTCGTGCATTGACTATCTTCCTGACACCTTCATGCTTTCACCTGACACCTTCATGATTTCATGTAAATCTATTTCTAATTACCTTTTACTTTTATCTTCATTATGTATTTTAGTCTTGACCACTTTTTTGCAACATGTAGTTTGGGATATGGTGTTGCAGTATGTGGTAATGGCCTGGCTTTTTTAACAATTGTAGCTTACAATTTCAATTCTTGGATAATTGATAATTTTTTATAAATTTATAGTTATTAAATATAAAAATTTCTGCTAAAGTTTATATCTCATAACTAAAAAAACTCATTTAAAAAGATTTCCTGCTCCTACAAAATTTATTAAATTTTACTTTTACAGGACCATAAATTGCTTGTGTAAACTGACTTAGGAAGTGCAAACCTAGCTATTCTTAATCATTTATATTTCTTACATTCATACCGATAACAGAAGATGTTTTATTTTAAACACGTTTTATATTCTTAAAGGTAAAAAAATGTAAAAAATAATCTGGCATGGTTGTTTAAAAATAACAAAAATTTTATATATTATTGCAAAAAAACTTTGCAATATTATTTTATTATTTTTTTATGCAGCATTCTACAACAACAATTTTATATACATTTAAAATAAAACATGTTATGGTTTGTAAATATTATATAATCTGTAAATTATATATGCTTTTGTTGATTTATAAAAAACTAATAAATTGAACAAAGATTGCATAACATTTCAACATATCACAGCAACAAGATCCTAATGACTAATTTGTATTCACCAATAAAAATAACAGACCTCTTTATTATTTCTTTTAGCCTAGCCAAATGCTTTCCTGCATACCACTACATAAATTAAAGTAAGTTTTAGGAAAAGGATTTAAATCTTTTTATATGACAAGGATAATGAATCAGTGTTGTTCTATTTTAAATTTAAAACAATTTTTTATACAAAATTTTTATACAAGAACAACTTTTGAAAGAAATGTTACTCACATTTGGTTCTTGTATATAGTACTAAAATACATGGTTTAGTACATATCAAGTTTTTTAAATAATAATAACAAATATGTATATACTATTTTCTCTTGTTATTTGTAAAAAAAGAAAAACTCACTCACATTTATTTTTATTTTCTCAAGAATCTTTTATACAATATATAACATGTCTGATGGAGAGATTTGAAATGCAGCTACTTATTTTAGCATTTTGTATCAAAACGAACTGAAGTAGACAATCAACCAGCAAGCAGCCAAGATGAAAGCAAAATTTTAAAACTTGCTTCACAAATGTCACCTGATGCTGCCTCCTGTTTATTAAAGCTCCTTGGTATAAGACTTTTAGGACAATTAAAAAACAATTAGTATCAAGTTTACTAAAAACAGTAAATAAAAATTCCAGATAATTGCATAATGTCTGTGTTTACATATTAGTTTTTATATTTATATAAAAAAAAAGAATCCATTTTGTGAAGTATATCAAACAAGAATATTTCTAGTTTTTGGCCTTTGTTCCACAATTTACTCACAATATTTTGTGAAGTTTCAATGCAAAACAAAAAAGATGGTACTTTTATAATAGCACATTAAGAGTTTTAAAAATTGCTTAAATTAAATTTAAACAAAAAACATTAATACCATGCCGCAAATAAGACAAAAAATAAATATTAAACAGATAAAACAGTTGTTTAACAACATAATAACGTTTTTTTTCAGTTATTTGTAACTTATTTGTAACACCCAAATCATTAAAAAAAAATGTGGATTCAAGTTATTTTTCTTAAGATTTATGTCTTTAAAATTTTAAACAAACATTTGAAGGAGTATATATTATATTTGAAATATCAATCACATTGCTTCAGACAATTTTAAACTTTTTTTTGTTAATAAAAAAAAAAAATTTTAAAAATTAAAAAAGACTTTAACTGATTTGAAAATATTCTTCAAAAAAGTATAAAAAAAACGGAACAGAAATTAAGATGTTGATTTTGAACTATTTTACTACTTTTGCGATACTCATTAAGTATGAAATACTTTAAATAAATAAAACGTTTATTTTGAATTTTCCGTAAGAGGCCAAGCCCCAAAACCACGGCACTACCCAGATAACATTGTGGCTAACTGGACAATATACAAAATTTCAAAATTTACTAAAAATCAAAGTTTATTTTAGTAAAAAATATTCAGTTTAATTAAAAAGCTTTTATTTTAAGATGTTTCGTAAAAAACACCACTAATTGCATCATTAATTGCACCACCAATTGCAGGCATAAAACTTAGCATTGACTTTAGGTCTTTATTTTTTTTATGCTTAGAAGAATTGTTAATGAATTGGCGCTGATGAGACGCTTAGAATAGGATTATTTCTAGCAATTGTAATTTTTTGCCAACTTGTAATGTCCTTCCTTTTTTCAAAATATTTACACATAATTCTGGTTTGATGATAGAGTAACATTTCTAATATGTTATAAAATGTGGCATATTTAAATGATATTTCAGCTTTTTGACTGAAAAATAAAGTTTCTTTAATACACAATTTTTTTTTTTCACCTTTGCTTCCAACAAGGCTGCAAGCAATCACTATTAGAATTGGAGGTTATTGGAAGATAAAAGATGAAGTTTATAGAGCAAGATAACGATTAAATTAAGTTAATTGGGCTATAATAAATAAATAATTAAACTATAAATATAAACTATAAAGTTTTTTTAAATTAAACAACTAGCATTATCGATTTCTTTCACAACTTTTTCTAAATTTTTTTGTGTAATAACCTTAATCTGTGTATTTTCTAGTATAAACCCTTTTAAAGCAAAAGCAATCATTGAATTTCTATTTTGTGGTACTCATAGGTTTTAAACAATGGATGTTCTAAAACTAATACCCACAAAACCTTTACTAATGCTGATGCAATAAAATTAATAGTTCTACCACCAATATACACACTCTATACTACACACAACAGTATACGCTATTCTACATTCTACTCACAACAATAAACTTCCCTATCTATTGAACTATGAGATTTATAACTTGCAAGAAATTTGTACAGTTTTGTAGTCTGCAATATTGAAACTGTTATCAAAGTATAAAATAAGTCTGATTGGCTAGAATCTTTTTAGTATAACAAAAAAGCATTAAATGACGATTATTATTGTTTGAAGATAAAACATTACTTAATTTGATAGGCCATTACTTTTATCAACCATTTTGGAGTTAAAGCACTTTTGCATAATAAAATCAGTATTTGAAGCTTGTATGTACCTTAATTAAATACTCGATTAGCATGCTTGTTTATATATTAACTTTTTACTTTTAAACAACGTCATTTTGAAAAAAATAATTGCACACAATTGCAAAAAAAAAAAAAAAGAAATCATACTGCTGAAGTTTCTCTTTGATGTTCCAAACATTAAAATACTATTTTTTAAATAAAATTTTAAAATTAGAAAAAGTAAACAACAATAATTTTTTCAAACTGAATTGATCTGCATAAATAGGAAGAATCGCCATGTCATAAGCTCCATATATTATTTTCTGATGGACTGTTCCCTATATATATATATATATATATATATATATATATATATATATATATATATATATATATATATATATATATATATATATATATATATATATATAAATTTTAAAATTAAAAAAAGTAAATATATATATATATATATATATATATATATATATATATATATATATAAATTTTAAAATTAGAAAAAGTAAACAACAATAATTTTTTCAAACTGAATTGATCTGCATAAATAGGAAGAATCGCCATGTCATAAGCTCCATATATTATTTTCTGATGGACTGTTCCCTATATATATATATATATATATATATATATATATATATATATATATATATATATATATATATATATATATATATATATATATATATATATATATATATATATATATATATATATATATATATATATATATATATATATATATATATATATATATGTATATATATAATATATATATATATATATATATATATATATATATATATATATATATATATGTATATATATATATATATATATATATATATATATATATATATATATATACATATATATATATATATATATATATATATATATATATATATATATATATATATATATATATATATATATATATAAATTTTAAAATTAAAAAAAGTAAATATATATATATATATATATATATATATATATATATATATATATATATATATATATATATAAATTTTAAAATTAGAAAAAGTAAACAACAATAATATAAAAATTATTGTTGTTTACTTTTTCTAATTTTAAAATTTTATTTAAAAAATAGTATAAACTATTTTGCAGTATTTAATAAATATGGTGTAGATATTGATGTTTTATGTTGATGTTTTAAGATGTGTGAATATAGTTTGTTTTTTTAGGAAAGATTTTTTACTAACACTATTCCTTCTCTTAAATGATATAAACTCATAAAATTCCTTTATTGCTTGCAATATTGCTTGGATATTAATGCAACACAAATGTCCATTAGCGTACAGACTTTTTTCACTCTAAAAGCTTAGGAGAAGATGTATTCTTATGTAAAATTAAATTTTAAATATAGTTTCCTGTCTTGTAAATAGAATAAGATAAGTAACTCTACATTCTTAATGTAACAAGTAACTCTAGATTCTTCAAATTCTGCTCAGTTAAGTCATCATTTGTCCAGATAAAGACTATTCTGATGCCAGTAGTGAGCCATCTGGCATGACTTAAGGGGCCACATTGAATTTCTCTTAGATTAGGTGGCAGCACACCAATCCTCACTGTTTTACTTAGCTTGTAGGATTGTTTTTGATCTGTTGACATATTTTTTAGTATTGTTTCTGGAATGTCAACAAAGCTCTTTCTGTCTGGAAGAGCCTTGAATTGAGGATTATACTCCATTTTGTTAACACCAGAAAGAAATTTTCCCACAGGACCTACAAATCCAGTACTACATGATGTTAATCCATAAATTCCTTCTATAAGGTGACTTAAAAATAACTCATTTGAATGAAGCATGCATATGGCCCAGTGGCCCTTGTGATCTAACAGTATTTTAAGATGTGCTATAGCACTACCATTCCAGCCGACGTTATTTGAAGTATTATCTGCTCCAAATATTAAACATGATTCAGTAAGATTATGTTGCTTTAGCAAAAAATAAACACCTTCAGGAATCTTTTTAGCTGGCTTATCTAGATGAATAGGTGCATCTGAGGTAAAATGTCCAAGATATTGACCGCCAGGTTCTAAAGTCACGGTAATATGTTGTTCTTTTATAATAATAGGATGTAACTGCGCGTTTAAATCATTTATCATTGACCTTGTTGAATCTCTCCTCCCATCAAAGTAAATACCAATATTATTTGCATTTGGAAGTTTTGAATTATCATTTTTCTTTGCATCCACCTTGACTTTTTTCCTCACCCCTGTCAACTTAGAAGGATCACCAACAAGGTAAGAGGATTCAGGGGGTAAGAGATCCTGCTTCAATTAAATCTTGCAGATAACTTTAGTTTAAAATTTCATTATACTCAACTCATATTATAGACTCATTCCTTTGTTTTATAATAAGATGTGTAATGGAAACTACTTTCTTTTAAATAAATTTTGGCTAACACTATTCCTCGCAAACTATATAAGCTAACACTATTCCTTTAAACTTTTTTTTTAAACTATATAAACTGAAAAAACAGCTCATTTATATCACTCAGACTGAAAAGCAAGTTTAAGTTTTTCTGAATAATATCTAATGGCACGATTTGTTATACAATTTAAAGCCATTCAAACAATTGTCACAACAAACTCTTGTCTGTAACATGGAAATGTACACACCCATAAATATACATAGAGATCACATATATGTATTTATTTGTGTGTATGTATATATATATATATAATATATATATATATATATATATATATATATATATATATATATATATATATATATATATATATATATATATATATATATATATATATATATATATATATATATTTCTATAATAACATTAAGAGTAGTACAAAAAAAATATTAATATGAGAAAAAAAAAACCAAACAGAATAATTAAAATGTTAAAGTTAAAAAAATTTACAAAAAACTGATTTTATAAATTTTGCACAAATATTGCTTCAAATATTGCAGCTGCATTTAGTACACTAACTTCATCAAAATGTTTTCCAACAATCATTAAACCAACTGGCAAACCACCAAAAAAACCACAATTAAGTGACAATGCTGGATGTCCTGTTCCATCAAAGATGGAAGTATTTTTTATCATGTCTAAGCTTTTAGCAATTATATCTTTTGTTGGTGTATCTTTTAATGGAAGCTTACATGGCAAGTTTGTAAGAGTTGGCATAATGATTACATCGTTATCCTGAAGTATGTCATTATAGAGTTGCTGCATGTGAACAACCAAACTAGAAGCTTTAGCATAGTAGTATGGTCCATACTTTTCTTTAATAAAGTTGGATAAAAGAACAATAGTTTTGATGTTGTGTGATGTCTCTGATAAATGCTCACTATAACCTTCTTTCATTTTTTTAACAAGTGACTCAGATTGCACCCCTAAATCAATATTAAATGATTGTACTCTTTTAATGAACGGTTTTAGAGCATAAAACTGAATGCAAGTAAAAAATCTTTACAATAACAAGTTAAATACTATAACATATATTAACAGTTACAATTTTTGGCTCTAAAAAACTTTATAGTCTGTTAAAATTAATAAACCTATAGCAAACTAAAAAAACAAACATTCATAACTGTAAAAAAATAAAAAATAATTGCAAAACTAATAATTAATAACTGTAAAAAAAAAAAAAATAATTGCAAAACTAATAATTTTAAAAAAATATAAAATAATAAAAAAATTGTAATAAAATGTAAAATAATTATATCAAAAGAAAAAACTTTTTAAACTTTATTATAAATAATAACATCAATTTTAATAGTAAGAAGATTTTAAAAGTTTTTTAACTGAATAAGTTCTCTGAATAAAAAATTCTGAATCTTTTGCTGATTTTTATACAGTTGAAAGTACTTAGTAAAATAAAAATTCCTTGAAAATTTAGGTCTATGACTCCAAAAATATTCTGAAATATGACCATTTTGCTTTAAGCAGATATTGGCCAGGCCCTTCGTCCCCTCAAAATTTTTTTAGGAAATTTTTTTAGCAACTTTTTTTTTAGGTTTCAAGTCACATAACTTTAATAATATTTGATTTTTTTACTTAAAAATTAGTAACTGGCTATTTTTGGGTTATATGAATCCAATGAAATTATGTGGATTCATATAACCCTGGATGTGGATTCACAAAATATTTTTAAGCGTAAATTTTTAAGCGTAACTTACTAATTTTGCATTCACAAAACTTGCGCAGTTGCTTAATACAAAACTCACAATTTATTTTTTGTAAGTTCAACTTTCAAATTATGTTATTCACAAAACATCTTCAGAAAATGCTCAGCTTAATTTAAGCAAGAAAAGTTACATTAGCTAGAAGCTACCATAACTTTGTCATAACTTTAAAATGTTTGCACAGCCCACACATACTGACTTTTTCTTGTTAAGATTTGCAATAAAATTTTTAAAAATTTGTGATAAATATAGCATATATAAATATTTTAAAATAAATTATATAAATAATGTTTTACCTATAAATTATTCTTTAGTTTTTAGATTAAACTACTTTTTGTTAAAGTTTAATAAAAATTTTAATTTTGGTTTTTAATTTACAACTACTTCTACTTCCTACTTGCTACTTTCTTCTTTAATTTATGAGAACTTCCCTAAAAGGAAGTTCTCATAAATTAAGTTTTTACTGTAAAAGGAGTCCTTTTGCACATACTCTATTAAAATGTTGTATACTATTTAGTCTACGCATTTTGAAAATTTGTTAATATAAGTATAAAAGATGACAGAAATTCTATGCAAGTTCTAAAAAATTTGTTTTTTAGAACTTGCATAGAATTTCTGTCATCAAAGGTTCCCAAAAACCAACCAACTGATGCTTCCTACAAATGACGATAGATTAGAAGTATTTGGATTTTTATATTGCACTTGAAAATTTGGCTTGCCAATATCCTATTTAGAGTCTGAGTTAAACAGCTTTTTAGCAACACTTTCTCTAACTTCGGACATGAGTTCCTCGTCAGCTATGGAGAAAATAACTGTTCTGTGGTCATGGTAACAATTATATGTCGTTTCATCAAGTCAATGCTTTGGCAATATCAGGTCTTTTAATTTTATAATTTTCCATATTTCTGATTGCTTGTTAATCCATATCTGGAGCCATACATGCAAAAGGAGCTTTTAAAAACCAAAAAGTATAAAAAACACCAACAATCTCAGAAAAAACTGTAAAACGTGACATATCATTTGTAGAAAAAAGATTTGAATCAAGCTGTGGACTAAGAGAGCAAAGTTCAAAATTATAGATTGATTTAGCAAGATATCTTGCATGATGGAAGGCACCAGGTCTTTTAAAATGAAATCCTGTGCCAAATCCATCTAAGTATACAACTGTTAACTGGCAAAGGTACTTATATGGGAAATATGTTTTTTTTTAAAGCTTCACTGCAAAACTGTAAGACTTTATCAGCCTAGAAAAAATATTTATTCAATTAATTATGAGAGATTATTTGTTTGTTGATAAAAAAATATGTTTTATTAATGTTATATTTATGTATATAATTATATATTTTCTTTCCTAATAATAAGTCTTAATAGTTTAAATTCTTTAAAATATTTTTATCTCACCCAATAAATGTTCAATGGTTATTGTCAAAATTGTTCATATTCTTATAATTTATTCCTTTAGCAAACATTTTATCCCAGTTATTATATAACTTTTTGATTGTATTATCTGTAGGTCCGGTTGTAAATTTACTTGTTGCTTTTTCTATTTCTTTTCTACCATGTAGACATGGTGTCTACATGGTAATCAAAATTAGTGGTTTGCCTCTCCATCTCTCAATAATTGACACTGCTCCATTAATCCATCTAGTATTACTCGCAGTTGTATCAAAGGATACACTATCAACTACTTCGAAAAGATTATATTTTTTAAAAACCTTTTTTATTGCAGTAGCCTGGGTTATTCTACACCGATCAGATATTACAATTACTCCAATAAGCTAGGACTCATTGAGATCTGGTGAACTTACAATTACTGCCAACCTTTCCACATTTTTGCCATGATTAAGAACATCTGTAAATTTTTTTTTGTCCAGTTGAAGAGTCAGAGATAGTTGTTTAGCTTTTGAGATTCCTTTATCTTAATTTCTTAAGACCATTTTGTTATGCCTTCTTGAAGTTGTTTCTCATAGTGAAAACTTATTCAAATCTCCATTGCCTGCATTTATGATACTTGCAAATATAATTACCTGACCTGTTGAAGAAATATTGTATCTTTTTGCAACAATTGATGTTGATTTAATTATATCTTTAGGCATAAAAACCGTTATATTTATCGTCAGTTTTTTTCCTTTTTGAATTGTATTCTTTAAATATATATCTAGCTAATCTGAGTCTACAAATTCAGTATCAGAATGTTTTTGAAGACTTGATTGAAAAATGTTATCAGACGATTGTTGACCTATCATTTTTGCTTGAAATTGAATTTTTTTTTGTAATCTTTCTTTTTCTAAACTTTTCATACTTTTTTCCTTATGATCCATTGACCACTTTCGCAGGCTTTTTTGGTCATCCATAAACATACTGTCTTCTTTTTATTTTTCATTATTATGTCATTAACATCTGAAGGAGAAATGTTGAAAAGATTACGCATTTCTTCCCGAAATTCTATGCGCAATTTTTTATACCCAGTAGATACTTTATTTCTGTTTGCTTGTTCTCCTTCTGCGATTTTCCAATTCCATAATGTTATTTCTATAAAATATATGTACAAGTCAAAAAGTAAAGTTAATTACTAGCATATTATCATATTTATACCAATATTATTTCTGTCAAAATTAGAAATTAAAAGTATTATTAATACCTTATTTGTTTGTGACACAATATTGGAATTGAAGCCTTTTCCCATGTATTAACGAAGGCTTTAGTAACACACATCAAGCTGTTCTCTTTTATCTGACAACCACCAGATTCGTTACATTTAGTCGTAAAAAAATATTTAGAAAGGGGGCAGGCAACAACGTCCTGAAGTCTAGCAAATTTAGAAATTGATCTCATAAAGTACTTTCTATAATGAAGATATCCAGACACTTCTCCTTTTGTTGGCAGCTAGATAAACTAAATTTTTTATAATTTTTGTATGGTTTTGTGTACAAATTTATATTGTACATTTTTATAATTATTGTTTATATTTGTACATATTTTTATATTATGCATATTTATTTTGTAATACTAGATAAAAGGAGAGAACATTTATTTCTGATCTGTTTTTGTTTTTGTTAATTTTTTACAAAAGTGCTAAACTTGAAAAATTTACCAACATTACAAAAACAAATAGCATTCCACAATAACCATTTCTTAAAAAAAATGATAATTTTATATTTATTTGTAATTTAGAGTATTATGATGTAACAATGAATATATATTTATAACATTTTTCAATCAAAAGATTGTTAAAACATCAAAAATATAGCAAAAAAATCAAGTGATAAATTAAAGCCAACATTGGAAACAAATTAGAGCAAAATGAAGTTAAATTAATCAAGATTATCTTCCTATTGATATCTTTATTGAAATTTGAAATTAGTTTACCGTAATTTTTGCATTTTATAGAATAAATATAAATAATTTAAAATTTTTTGGTTTTGCTAAAATGAATTAATTTCTGTACGGAAACTTAAATAGTTAATTAGCTATTAATTAACATTTAATTAACTTTTTTTAGCTAATAATTAAAATTTAATTAGCTTTTTTATTTTATTTTAAACATCTTCGCTTCCAACAAGGCTGCTAGCAACCACTAATTAGTGTTGGAAAATACTGGAAGGGAAAAGATGAAGATTGTAGAGCAAGATAACGATTGACAGACAAATTAAAAGATTGCAAATTATATGAATAAGGAAGCGAATACCAAAGAACTGACATTTGAGGAAAAAAACTAGACGAATAAGAGTTTTTGGAGCACTTAGGAACAGTAACAGAAAAAGGATGAGATTTAATTGAATGACGAGTAACACAAGAATGAATTTTAGTAGATGGCACTAGCTCTTTAGAGCAGTGCCCATATTTGCAACGGATTTTATATATAGTTCCTAAGAACGATCAGAAGTAAGAGTTAATCCTAGAAGATGAAGGGTAGATGACTCATCGAGTACATTACTGTTCATAAATATAGGAAGGTCTAAATTATTGCGATAACAATTGGCTGGAAAAAAATTTAGTTTTATCTGAACTAAAGTTCACCAGCCACTGTGAGCCCCATGCTGTAGCAGAAAGTGAGATCCTTTTCAAGCTCAAATGCTACCCTCCAAGCATTTAGAGAGAGTTCGCTTCTTATTATGACAAGAATAAATGGTAGTATCATTAGCGAACAATGCCACTTTAGATGTGAGATTATCTGGAAGATTATTAATGTAAATTAAAAAGAGTAT